ACTCCTACCCTGCGGGTTTATCCCGAGTTTTTTTTTTTTTTTTTTTTTTTTTCCCTTTAATAAGAGCTCAGTGTTAGAAATGCGATAGAGGGGTGCCTGAGTGGTTCAGTCATTAAGTGTCTGCCTTCGGCTCAGGTGGTGATCGTAGGGTCCTGGGATCCAGCCATGCACTGGGCTCCCTGCTCAGCGGGGAGCCTGCTTCTCCCTCTCCCACTCCCCCTGCTTGTGTTCCCTCTCTTGCTGTGTCTCTCCCTCTGTCAAATAACTAGAATCTTAAAAAAAAAAAAAAGAAAAAAAGAAATGTGATATAGTATATTGTGGAAATAAGAACAACTGTCCTTCAAGGTTTATAAAATAGGGCAGAAGCCCCACGCCTCCTCACTCCCACTCTAGGCAACCATTTGAACCCCTAACCATTCTACTGGTATTCACTTTTGTACCAAAATTCAATTCGGTATCAAATTCGATTTCTTGATTTTTCGGTATTACATATTATATAACACAATATAAAATATCATACCATATACATGCTCCCCAACACACATATGCTTCTTACCCTTCTGTATATCCTTATATACTGCCTCTGTGCTCATGCTCCAATCTTGGCCTCTAGCCCAGCCACACAGCCACTATCATCATCCTGGGGTCTCTTTCTGCCCCTCTCCTGTGTTGGATCTCCAGTTTCCAGTCCCCGCTATCCTCTTTCCTGGTTTTCTCCCTTGTCTGGCTGGAGCACATCCTTTAGCTGCCTGAGAAAGAATGTATGGGAGGTCAATTATTTAAAAATCTCACGTGTCTGAAAATATCTTCATTCTACCATCACTGAGATTTGGCTGGGTACAAATCTAGATTAGAAAACATTTCCTATCAGAATTCAGAAGATAATACTTCAAAATCTGCTTTGAGAGGGACGCCTGGGTGGCTCAGTTGGTTGAGCTTCTACCTTCAGTTCAGGTTATGATCCTAGGGTCCTGGGATTGAGTCCCACATTGGGCTCCTTGCTCAGTGGGGAACCTGCTTCTCCCTCTGCCTGCCACTCTCCCCTGCTTGTGCTCTCTCTCTCTGATACATAAATAAATAAATAAATAAAATCTTTTAAAAAAAAAAACAACCCTGGGTGGCTCACTTGGTTAAGCAGCTGCCTTTGGCTCAGGTCATGATCCCAGGGTCCTGAGATCGAGTCCCACATCGGACTTCCTGCTCCATGGACAGCCTGCTTCTCCCTCTACCTCTGCCTGCTGCTCTGCCTTCTTGCGCTGTCAAATAAATAAATAAAATATTAAAAAAAAAATCTGGTTTGAGAATTTCAATGCCATTTAAAATCCCTGATCCTTGGTATGTGACTTGTTGCTTTTTTTCTTTTATCCCTTTAGGATTTTTTATTTATTATTTTTTTGTTTTTTAAAGATTTTATTTATTTATCTGACGGACAGAGATCACAAGTAGGCAGAAAGGCAGGCAGGGAGAGGAGGAAGCAGGCTCCCCGCTGAGCAGAGAGCCCGACACGGGCCTCGATCCCAGGACCCTGAGATCATGACCCGAGCCAAAGGCAGAGGCTTAACCCACTGAGCCACCCACGCACCCCCCCTTGCTGCTCTTCTGCACCTCCAAGCAGTGAGGGCCCCCCAGTTTCCTCCGGTCTACCCCACTTCACCCATTCCACCCCTGGATCCTGGGTCCTATAGGGCCCTCCAGGGCACTGCCGCTCCCTTTAGGATTTTTAATCCTGGGATCCTGAAACTTCATGATAAGAAAGCTTGCTATAGTTCCTTGCTTTATTTTGAAAGATTTCAGAACTATAAAATAATGCAAATAAAACACATAATGAAATACTATGATATAAACATTGTAAAACTATCTATCCATCAATGACGTTAAAACATTACTAACACGTTGAAACCCCTCTGTAGCGGGCCCCCTCTTCTTGAGATGCGCCTTGAGATCTGTTGTTTATCCTTCCTGTGCCTTTCTTTATTCTTTTGCTGCATAAAATATATGTTAATATATGTCATTTCACCCCGTTTTAAAATCTCTATATAGATGGTGTCATAAAGTATGTATTTTTCTGCCATCTGTTTCTTTGCTCCTGGTTGCTCGTGAGAGTCATCTGAGAGTACCCACTCATTTCCACCAGGATATTTCATTGTTGGACTACACTGTATCACCACTTATGTATCTATTCTTCTGTTGACACTACGTAGGTCCTTTCCAATTTTTGGCTAATAAAAAGGTACTGCTCTTGACACTTTGTACACGTCTCCCGGAGCCCACTCAGAGGAGCTTCTGTAGTGAAATGGTTCCCATTTCTGCCAGCACACTGGAGACATGTGTGGTTTACAGAATCCTGATTTCAAGGCTGAGCCCCAAATTGATGAAACTAGAATTTCGGAGAGTGGGGGGAGGTGGGGATGGTGTCCGGTGTGATGGGCTTGTAAAACTCAATGGGTATTCATATTAGCCAGTGGTCATGACTACTGGTCCGCATGGGGGCCACTGGCCCACACGTGTGGTCCTCCAGCCAGTGGCTTGTTAGACAGACACTCACAGACCCTGGCCCTGGCCCCGTGAGCGAGAGTCTGTTTCGGGAGACCTCAGGTGATGGAGAGAACGTCTTCAACACTTTTCAACCCCCCCCCTTTTTTTGTGTGTTTCTTGGTTTGAAATGCCTATCCATTGGAAGTTGGCCTTCTTCATGGGCCTTACCTTTGGGTCGTCCAATTTTCTTGACTTTTTCCTTGTACACTCACATCTCTTTTTGTGTTTTACTTCCCAGGAGATTCTTCTCTCATCTCCATCCCTTCTAATGCATGTTTATTTATTTTTTAAATTTATTTATTTTTTAAGATTTTACTTATTTGAGAGAGAAAGAAAGAGAGAGAGAGAGATCACAAGTAGGCAGAGGGTGGGGTGGGGTGGGGGGAGGAAGCAGGATCCCCGCTGAGCAGAGAGCCCGATGTGGGGCTCGATCCCAGGACCCTGGGATCATGACCTGAGCTGAAGGCAGACGCCCAACTGACTGAGCCACCCAGATGCCCCTCTAATGGATTTTTAAATTCTGCTATTATATTTTTAATTTTCAAGAGCCTTGACACTTCCTTTTTATTTCATTTTAACACTTCTTTTTTAAAAAATTACACTCGATTTCAGTTCAGGTCATGATCTCAGGGTTATGAGATCGAGCCCCCGGAATTGGCCCCTGGGCTCAGCATGGGGTTGGCTTGAGGATTCTCTTTCCCTTCCCCCAGAGGGGGGACCCTCCCCCTGGCTAGATCTCTCTCTCTCTCAAATAAATAAATAAATAGATCTTTATTAAAAAAAAAAATTCTCCCTCTCCCCTCTGTCCCTCCGCCCACTTGCTTGCTTGCTGTCTCTCTATAACTAACTTTCTTTTCCTGTTTCATGGGTGAGTATCCTCGGAGGATTGTTCCCTGACCCCTTTCTCCTGGGTATTGGAATCTCTATTTTTGGTTTGTTGGTTTTGGTCAACGGTTGGCACCTCTGCCTGTTCCAGCTGAGGGCCACACAGCCAAGCTACTAGAAACTGTACATGTGGGCAGGGCTTGCGTACAAGGGGCCTCACGGGGGTGACTGGGCAGAGAAGGGGAATCGCCAACATTAGGATCGATCAACCTTTTCAGTTCATTCCCCAGTGACAGGCTGAATAACATCTTGCCTTGGGGGCAGGTGGATGGAGAATAAGCCAGCTGTTAGTGGGGAAGGGGCTGGAGAGTCTCTCCATTAACCACTGCCTCACTCCAGTCTTTGGCTGGGCTTGGGGTCCCCAGTCCCAAATCCTTCTAGTGCACCCTTGGCCAGCAGTAAACCTGGGTCTTCTAGGGTCTACCAGGGTCAGGAAAGGGCCATGTGGGCGATGAGAAGGGACTTGGGGATCTAACGTCTTCCCAACAATACTATTTTCATACCCATCCTAACTTTCACCTTAGGGACACCTGGCCTCTCCGAGTTCTGAGAATTTGGCAGATTCTGCAAAGCAAATGGTCTTGTTCATGGCTGGCTTTCTCCCTTGGAGACATTTTGGGGAGCTGGGGAAGCTGACAGTGTATCTTCCATCTCCCAAAGTTCCCAGACCTCTCCTCTCTGTTGCCATCCCTCTCCTCTCCTTTACGGCTTTGTAATTTATGCCACTTCATTCCTTTAGGTCGTCCTGGTGGAGCTTGGGGGTAAGAAGAAATAAAAATGTGTTCAGTCTGCTCTATTGAACCACAAGTCCCTGTCTATTTTACAAGCATTTTCACATCTGTGCACAGAAGTTCTTACAACTCTGGGGCACCTGGGTGGCTCAGTTGTTCAGCATCTGCCTTTGGCTCGGGTTGTGATCCCAGGGTCCTAGGATTGAGTTCCGCATCGGGCTCCCTGCTCAGCGGGGAATCTACTTCTCCCTCTCCCACTCCCTCTGCTTGTGTTCCCTCTCTCACTGTGTGTGTGTCTCTGTCAAATAAATAAATAAAAGCTTTAAAAAAAGTTCATACAACTCATTTTGATTATTTGTATGTATACTTAAATTTTTTTCTAAGCAGAAATGGCCTTGTTTTTCCATTCAACACGAGGGTTGTGAGTTCTACCACACAGAGATTGAGCTCATTCTTTTCACTGCAAGCAACACACTACATCTTTTCCAACCATTTCTCTATCGATGCATCTCAGAAACACAAGTGACTGTGGTCTTTGGGGCAACACACTGGCTCAATGCAAATTCTAATCTTTATTGTTACAAATTTTGAAGCATAACTTGTCACAGGGAAACAGTCTGTCTTTTTACCATCTGCCAGCGGCAAGGGCAAAAAAGCTAACGGTGAGGGCCTGAGAGCCCGGAGAGAAGGCCCTTCAAGGAACAGGAGTACGGGGCAGTGGGAGAGTGGCCGGATGGAGAGATGAGGATACCAACACACACACACACACACACACACACACACACACACACTCTCTCTCTCTCTCTCTCTCTCTCTCTCTCTCTCTCTCTCAAGCTCTGTCTTCAGGGAAGGGTTTTCCAAAAGCATTTGCTCACTGTCTGAATTATTTTTCATGCTTAGGGGAGACGTGTCCCCCAGCTGGGGATGCAGCTGAAGACTGCTCTTCAATGAGGGAATTCACCGTATCCCCCAGAGCCCTTCCAGGCTCCACGAGCTGGAGAGAGGCTGAGCAGAACCTGGGGAGGCCATCAGAGGGGTCCCCAGAAACCCAAGCAAGGGCCAGCATTCGACAGCAGCTCCTGAGCCAATCTTGAGCCAAGGGAGGGTGCTGATCCTGCTTCCAGAGCCCTCGGGAGGCGGAAGGGTGGGCAAGCTTCTCACCCTGCACCCTCTAGGACCCACTGCTCATCTCTAGGGCCCAAGCTCAGCTTTGAAGGGCAATGTTCAGGACTGGGTTCTTCTTCCATTAATAAGAGAAAGCCCAGCCCAGTGCATGCTGCAGTGCATACGGGAGGGCCCATAAGGCTGGTCTGCAGGCCCTTCCAGCCCACCCCAAGACAAGACCAAACTTAAAATGAATATGGAGGTAGACGGGGAGGGTGCAAGGGAAGGGCAATAAATAAAGATCAGGGCTGAGTGGGATGGCTGTGGTGAGGGGAGGGAGGAAGGCTCCCAGGGAAAAAGGGGGCAGAAAGGCACTGAGTGGGGGGAAGGAGACTCAGCCCCCCAAACACTGGTTGGTTGAGTCGGAGGTCACGTCCAACAGGGCTGGCCAGCTGAGGGCTGCAGACTGCTTACCAGACCCCCCCAGCTCGCTTTCTCTCTCGAACTCCTCCACTGCAAAGTCTGCTCCGTGCACCAAACATGTCTCTGCTGGGGCAGGCAGGCGGGGCGTTGGGAGGTCGTGTCAGCAACGGGGAATTGCCCAGGCAGGCCTTTTGCCTTTAGGGGAGAGGAAAAAAAAAGGCCACTATAGGGTGAGCAGAGGCCGGATCCCTCCCCAGCGACAGCCTGAACTTTGGGAATGGCGTGGTAATATAAAACTTACCCCAGCTTGTTCCGCAAGCCCTGGGGCCCCTTCTATGCCCTGGGTCACACAGATAGCCTTACTGGCTATCTGCTGAAGACCTACTTAGGGGACGCACTCCACGAGAATGTTGCATTTCTCCCATCCACCCCCAGCCCCATGAGGAACACAGCATGGTCCCCACATTAGCAATAATGGAATTGGGTGCAGAGAGATCAAATATTAGGTTGAGTCATATCGATGCCAACATCTGACTATTTTTGATCTATAAAGAGGCAATTTCATATGGCTGAATCTGATGGTTTGCCCAGGTTCACGTGTCTGTGGGTGGCACGGCTGGGACTAAAACGTGGCTGATTCCAGACTGTCCTCTGCAGGGGATTTCAGGAGAAGGAGGGGAGAGGGTACACTCCACATACACGGCCACAGGGCCTTGCTCTCCAGAGACCTGCTCACCTGTGGCCTCTCTTAAATGCCCTAGCCCGTAGCTTCTTGGCACCATCGAGGCAGGAGAAAGGGGAGGAGGGAAGACAGGGAGCGGGTGAGAGCTCCCACAAGGCTTCCCGATGTGGGGGGGGTTGCTGCCAGCACACACAGCCTGTGGGAGAGTCACTACTGGGCGGGGCGGTGGGGAGGTCAGCTGCTGGCTGATGAAGGCATGGGCCGCGTGTCCACGGCTCCTGGCCCAGAGGTGCCAAGTCCAGCTGGGGCTTTTTTCTTGAAGGAGACTGGGGGCAGAACCGAGGTCCCTCACACTACCTGAACCCACTGCATGATGCTCCCAAGTTGCCCGGGTTGGTTCACTGCAGGCAGGAGAGGGGTCTGGCTCACCTCGGATCCCCCCGTGCCCGGCACAGCGCTCAATAAACAGAGAATTGCGAACGTCACCTAGCACTGTGGTTTGGGTGGACTGGGTGAGGAAGGAGGACCATGGGGAAGCAGAAAAGGGAGAGGTGGGTGCATTAGAAGGAGCAGCTTGGTACTCACCGGGGCTCTTTGGGTCTGGCCAGGCTGAGGTGCCCTGCGGGTCTGCAGAGCTGGTCCCAGTCTCACTGGCCAGGCTGCTCTGGCTCCCGGAGAGGGGGCTGGACTGGCGGGGGGGCCCCATCTTGGGGGACTCCATGCTGCCACCTGCAAGGGACCATGAACTGAGATGGGGATAATCTCAGCCTGATAAGGAGCTGATCTAAAATCTCAGTTTGGGGGTGTCTGGGTGGCTCAGTTGGTTGAGCGTCTGACTCTTGATCTCAGCTCAGGTCTCAATCTCACAGTCATGAGTTCAAGCCCCATGTTGGGCTCCACGCTGAGAGCGGTCTACTTAAAAATAGGTAAAAAAATAAAATCTTCTTGGGGTGCCTGGGTGGCTCAGTGGGTTAAAGCCTCTGCCTTCGGCTAGGGTCATGATCCCAGGGTCCTGGGATCGAAGCCCCACACCAGGCTCTCTGCTCAGCAGGGAGCCTGCTTCCCCCTCTCTCTCTGCCTGCCTCCCTGCCTAGTTGTGATTTCTTTCTGTCAAATAAATAAAAAATAAAAATAAAAAAAATCTTAAAAAAAAATAAAATCCTCTCATTTGGAACTGTGTTAGATGTCTGTGGGATTGTCTGCTCAGAGTCCCTTACCTGCTGCCCCATATGGCTGCCATGTTCTCAGGAGACTCTACCCTCTGACCAGTACTGGCTGGTCCAGGATATACAAAGGTCACTGCATAGGCCTTCAGGTGGGTTCAGCAAGGAACAAGTCACCAGCATGAAAACTAGCAATGATGAGTTTTTCCTGCCTTCACCGATTGAGGGGGAAGGGTGTACATATTCACTAACTCAATGGGATTTTTTTTAAGTTTGTTTGTTTATTTAAGTAGTCTCTACACCAACATGGGGCTTGAACTTGACCCTGAGATCAGGAGTCACATGTTCTATGGCCTGACCCAGCCGGGTGCCCCCCAGTGTTTGTTTTTGGTTTTTTTTAGACTCTATTTATTTATTTGAGAGAGAGAGCATGAGCAAGAGAGAGCAAGCACACATGTTGGGGGAGGGGCAGTGGGAGAGGGGAAGCGGGCTCCCTGCTGAGCAGAGAGCCTGATGCGGGACTCGATCCTCAGACTCTGGGATCATGACCTGAGCCGAGGGAAGACAGAGGCTCAACTGACAAACCCCCCAGGGGCCCCTCAGTGGTGTTATTAATTGTTGCCTTTATTAACTAAGTACTCTTCCCTTATGTATAGCTGTTAGCTCGTGGCCAAGCACAGAGCACAGAGGTGAGGCCTGTACTACTCTGTGCTCCATCTCTTCCTACCTACCACACCCCCTTGGTCATGGCTGAGAGCTGGTATGAGGGAGGGTTCAGTGCTCTGTGGGGCGTGGGCGGTGCGGGGGCGTTTAAAATCTGCCCCAGAAACCAAGGCTGGCAGGTGAGTGTCCTTCACACTCTTCTAAGTTAGACTCTTGAGACTGAGAGGGCTCAGAGATCGTCTAGTCCAGAAACCAGTGTCGTCTCCTGTGTGGTCTCCACCTACCAGTAATGACCACTTGGAACAGTGTGCTGAGGAGGCTTCTGAGGCCGTATCAGGCTCTGTGGGAGAGTCCTGAGATCGACTAGTAATGTCTGCCAGGGGCACAGGAGCGGAAGCGGAAGTGTGCATGCCAGCCATCTGCCGGCTCTGATCCAGCCTGAACTGCCATCCCCATCGGGAATTCCCTCCATATTGGCACTGGCAGATCACCCCACCTTGGTCCCAGGACAACACCCTGAGGCATGTCCTTTCAGTTTGGAACAGTTATTATAAAGCTCTCTGCTTATGCATTAAAATCAGCCTCCCTGAAATGTTTTTCAAATACCCCAGTTTTCTACCGTCTGGAGTAACTCTAACTGACCTGGTCCTTTTCCCAGGAAGGCCCTCTGTGGGTTTAAAGGAAAGAAAAGTGTGCCCCCAGGTTTTCTCTGCGCTAGCCTCCAGGCTCCATTAATTCTCTTTCATATGACAAGGTCATAGAGGCCAGCTCAGAGAGGTCAAACTCAGAAAACACTTTGGGGACCACATGCTCTGGGAGACAGAGGCCCTAGAGGTAAAGATATGTATTAATCAGGGCCCCACCGTGGTTTCATGGCAGAGCCGAGCTAGACCAAGGCACTTTGTACCTGATGTTCACAGCTCTTACCACTCACGAGACAAAAAAATCTCACCCTGGGGATGCTTGCTGGGAGCCTAGTGGGGAATCCAGGTATGCAGGCAGGTGTGCTAGATCTGCCATCCTCCCTTCAGCCCTGCCAATCCATCTGGGTCTCCTCTATGTCCCGCTCTGCAGAGAAGCTAATGCTTAGCTCCTGGTCATCCCAGCCCCACGCCCCCTCCTCCTCCCCTGTCAAGAACAGTTCTGCAGACACCAGCTGGGTGGCCACGAGCCGAGGAAGCAGCCACGCCATCGGCACCAGGTGCTTCAGGAACAAGCAGTGTCCTCGTTCTGCTTACCTGCTTCCCCGAAGGGCTTGGCACCTGTGGGCTCCCTGACCCCTGTCAGAAGTCTGTCCTCCAGGCTAGAGGCGCTGAGATCTGAGTCACTGTCACTGTCACTGGAAACCACTGGAAAGAACAGACACCAGCATGAGAGCTTACCCTTCCTGGTCACTACCAGTAGGCACATCGGGCAGAGGGCCTGGGGCAGGCCTCCCTTCTGCTGGGACCAAATGGCGTGGAACCTTGGCTGGTCCTTGTGTTTGGGATACAGAAACAGTGGCCCGGGGAGCGGAATGGCAGGGTACTCCGTTCTGTCAGCCAAAGAGGTGAGTGCCGGCGTGAAGAGGCTGGGCCTCAGGCTTACCCCCCTACAGCTGGCCGTCTCCATAGGTGACCCTGTCCCACTGGCAGACTTGGGAGCCTCTTGCTCTGGTAGGAGCCGATTATCCCCTTGGGTTGCAGGCACAACTGCTCTGAGACGTGCACCTGGCCACACTCAGGGTGTAAGGCCACGCCCCTCTACCTTGTGCTGAGGCTGTGTTACAGGTACAAAATATCCGGTCCTCGCCAACCCTTATAGAGCACTCCAGGCACTTGATATCTGCCAGCTCGCTGAAGCTTCTGGACAACCCCGAACACGGGGCTTGCAGGTGCGGAAGCCAAGGCATTTGCCCAAGGTGCTAAGTGGGAGAGCTGGGGTCACTCCCTGGCAGAATGGCTCTACCCCTCTGTGTCTGCAACCAGTCTGATTTTACTGGGAGAAATGAACTGGGAGCTGGCAGGCCTGGGCACTCGTCCCAGTTCGTCCAGGAATGTACAGTGGGGTCTTGTGAACACAGACGGGAGCCAGGCCGATGGGGCTGGAGTCCCAGGAGAGGGGAGGAGAGGGAGCTCTCCCGGCAAACACCTGCTGTGGTAGAAACCTTTTTTGGACTACCTGGCACCACATTTGGCCAGTGGATCAACAGTGGGAGTCATAATACCGGATATATTCATAGATTAAACATTCTATTTTAATTTTAAGCATAGAAATGTATACCCATTCACCCATCTTTTGATGGAGGGATTGGGGGCTGCTTTGAGATCAGTCCCACAGGGTCTTTTGTGTCTAAGCTGTGTCTGTATGGCAGTGTCTGTTCTCCCCAGGCACGGGGTCTCTACACTGGAGCACAGCTTAGAGACATTAGCAAAGCGGGGTGAGTGCAGGATCCTTCTCTGCTTTTCCATTCCTTTCTCCTGCTTTTTACAGTTGTCCTGCCCACACCTGATTCAATAGCTTTTTTAAGCACGTCGCTTCTCTCAAGACTTTAGGAAGTCCTGGTTTTAATGAAACAACTCTGTCTTTTCCTGGCTCTTTCCAGCAGTTTACGTAACATTTAATTAGGTGATGTCATCCTCATACCAAGTACCACACAGCACAGAAGGTCTGGGGTCATGGGTAAACCACTCTCACGGGGCACTGACTCGGTGGATGGGGTGTGAGTCCATGTGCCTTGCCGGGGAGGGCGACATGCTGGGTCCGGAAGGAAGGGAGGAGAGGCTGGGCACTCTGCCCAGCACAGTGTCAGCTGCCCAGAGAGCACGACTGCCCAACAGCTCCGAGCCCCAGAGACCCATGGGGTGGGGTCGGTGACGAGATCGGAAATCAAGTCAGTCTATGCCCAGGGTGGCTGAGAGGCTTCATGTGATGGGTTAGGCTCCCTGTGGAGCTGTGTGCAGGGGAAAGCACTGAGCCAGCGTCAGCATCCTGCAGGAAGGACAGTGGTCAGGCAGGGAAATCCCCTGGGGTACAAGAGTAGCCACAGCAGGACCCAGGCCATGGAGCTTCTAGGGCCTTCTGGAAAGCCTTTGTGCCTTAAGCAAAGGGAGTCACAGGTCACTGAATCTGGCAACCGGAGGGATGGAGCTGGCCAACCATTCCAGCTCTAGGAGATTCTCTACCCCGTGCGGCCTCGGCAGAGTGTCTGATACACAGGTGCTTCGGGAAGAAGTCCTGATGACTGCTTGACTCTTCCCTCTCCCCATCCCCACATTCTGCCCGCTTTGCCTCCCGAGTGGTTCTCCAACCAGTGGCCTCCTCACCATGGTCTCCTGCTTAGCTCCAAACCTCCGTGTCTCCAGTCGGGACTCCTTCACTCGCTTCCCACCGGGGCTCCACCTGTGGGCACCTCTCTTGGCACGGAGGGGAATGCTCCAGCTAACACGTACATCCTAGCCTACTCTTTCATTCTTTAAGATCATATTTATTTATTAGAAAGAAAGAGACAGAGCATGAGCTGGGGAGCAGCAGAGAGAGAGGGAGACTCCCTGCTGAACAGGGAGCCCAGTGCGGGGCTTGATCCCAGGCCCCCGGATCATGACCTAAGCCAAAGGCAGATGCTTAACAACTGAGCCACCCAGGCATCCCCATCCTGCCCAATCTTACTCAGGCTTCTCCACACGACTGGGTTCTTACCAAACTGCCGGTTAGTACCTCCTCCAGCAACTCACTTCCTACGGCTCAGAATTCCCTGCCCGTGCCTCTTCTCCTGGGTACTTTTTGTTTACTGATTTGTTCTTTTAGTAATCTCCACACCCAACGTTGGGCTCAAACTTACAACCCCAAGGTCAAGAGTCCCATGCTGTACCGACTGAGCCAGCCAGGCGCCTGTCTCCTCCAGGGAGCCTTCCCTCTCACCTGCGACTGGCTGGCTGAATGCTCTAGGCATTCTGCTACAGCCACTGTCTGCTTTCAGCATGCGTGTGCGTGTGTGTGCGTGTGTGTGCGCGCGCGCGTGCATGTGCTTCCCCCAGCAGACTGCCGGGATCCTGGGGGGCAGGGCCAAAGTGCACTGGTGAACGAGGCTGGCGCACTTCTTGCGCACAGCCTGACCCACGTGGGTGGGACAACAGTGATGCTAACGTGACTGTTCCCAGCTTTTCCTTCCTCTAGCTGCTCAAGGATTTTTGCCTTTTCTGCTCTCTTTCCCTCCATGGCCTTCCCCAGAAAAAGAGTTCTGGTGTGGCTTTGCGGGCTTTTGTGATGGAGCCTGGGATTCAGAGGGGCTGGGGGTCCATATGCCCCTTCATAGTATTTGAGAAGTGCAAAGGCCTGATTTATTCTGCAGCTGCTTTGCAGGTCCCAGATGGGGTGTCTTTGATCATGACTCCATCTACGGGACCTCACGGGTGTTGGTTTTGTAAGCATTGACATATTTTTGACTCACTCGGTGACAGATGAGGCATCTGCCCTGGGGGTCCCTGGACAAAGGGAGTGGGATGTGGGCAGGAGGCTGAGAGCAGCTCCCCAGGTCTCCCTTGGGGCAGCTGCAAAGAAATCAGGGAGGGTGGTGTCCTCCTGATAGAAGGGGGACTGGCAGCCTGTTAAGCAAAGGGGAGTCCCTGAGGAGAGCTGGGATTGATTTCCAAATGGCTTCCCTGAGTCTCTGCTTATGCATAATGTAGTCATTCTTCCTGACTTGGAATGCTCTGTCTCCCCTATGGTCAATCTTCATAATTCTGGGGCCAGAGGGGAGTGAGCCTGGGGCTGGGGCAGGGGGGACAGGCAGCTCTCCAGGGTTGAAACAAGGCCAGGGTCCTTGGGCGCTACTGTGTAGGTGACCAAGGGAGCAAAATACCAAGAGCTCCAAAGGAGACGATGGGAGAGGGCGTCTCGGACTCAGGTTTTGGTGGCAAGCTCATTTATCCTGCTCCTTCACCCTCCCCCCGCCTGTCATCCGCACATGCAGTGTTGGGTCACGCGGGTCCCAGAGTGAGCTTAAACTGCAAGAAGACAGTATTGTGTTACACCAGGGAAGCAGATTTTGTTGTGAGGGGTGGGTCTTGTCCCAAGCATCCCAAACTTGGAGGCCAGGTTTGGGCACCATGTTGCTTAGTCCCAAGTGCCTAGGTTGTTCAAGTTCTATAAAAAAATAAGTCCTCCTCAAGTTAGGCAAGTTAGGCGGTCGACTTGTTCTTTGTCTCCTTTTACAGACCCCAAATGCCCATAGCCATGGAAAGGGGAAACAGTTCTAGATGACAACTGAGCTCACAAAGGTGTCCCAGGGCAGGGAACCAGCCAATCGACAAGACTCATCCCCCTAGGCCATGCCTCCCTGGCTCACTGTGTCTGGAACTCTGAACTGGGGCCAGACCTCAGCTTAGAGGTCTTGGTAGTGCAAACCCAATCCCATTCTAATCCACTGTAATAAACTCTACTTGAAAGAAAGAAACTGAAGGAAGCTAGTAGTGTCCACACCTGACCTTGGCAGTTACTGTCGGTGGGAAAGAAACACACCAAGAAGACACTGCTGAGAATGTACCTGGACAGGACCCAGTGCAAACACTATTTACCCCAACATTCCTCCTGCAGCAGGGAAGAAGTTTTTCTTCCTCCTCCCCCTCTGACTGTCGCTATAAAACCTAAATCTTGGGTAATCTGCCATTCGATTGCCGATTGCCACCTTTCTCGCTGCATGGCAGCTGTGATCATAAATCTTCCAGGTCTATTAAAGAAGCTTTTAGGCTCATAAATCTTTTGGCCCTTGCTCTTCCATCCTCAACAAAACACTCTGTGTGTCTGAAGGCTGATTTTTCCCTTCTAATTCCCCCAAGACAGTCTAAGATGGCTTGGTGATGAGTGCTTGTGTTCAGCCCACGCCTGATTTTTCAGATCGAAGATGGGAAAGCACCAGGGACAAGACGGTCCCACTCATCTGCCCAAGGAGAAGGAGGAGTCACCAAATGGACTCACCTGGGCTCTGCCAGAAGGCAGGGAGGAAGGAAGGCCTCCCTCACCCCAGCGGCCCTAGACCCAGGACCCTCTGCTGGGGGAGCTGGCATCCCTGAGATTTTCCCATCATGCCCCAGAAGGGCTGCCCCACTCTGCTCAGCTCTCATCCTTAGCAGTGGCTAGCTTCTCTGGGGACAGGCCAGCTTTTTCTTTTTCCCCGACTCACTCTTGGATGGATTTGCAATTTGACTGTCACCATGGAAACTCAGAGTTTTGGTACACGAAGGTGGGGGGAAGTCTTCCCTTTTGGAAAGTCTTTCCTGACTGCCTCAAAGGACACGTGGAGCAGCTGCTGTCCTGTGAAGACACCTTGCCTGGGATGGTCCAGGCGACAGGCAGGATGCTGGCCACTTGA